CCTTTCGTATTGGATATCCGAAGCTGACTCGAGCGATTGTACCAGTTCGAAAGACCGAGCGCACTGGGTACAGTCCTTGATACAACTTCTATAACTTCTGCGGTCTTTTCGTTTTTATCTTTGGATCCCTCTATCTAGCTATTCATTATTAACCCATTATATTATTAACCCATTATTAACCCAAATATATATTATTAAACTTATTTTTCTATAGGTGATTTATAATAAATATATGGATATTAAAAAATACAGATTATGTTTTGAAGTTAATGTATTTATTTTGTTGAATATAAATACTGTAGAGAATAATAAGTAGTTACAATACCGTCGATCGTAAAATAACACTGTACTCAGGAAAAAAGATAATTCCGGCATATTGGCAACACCGATTTTGAACACAGATGTTAAATGTCGCCATTATGGCGGCACCGATGGCGAAGGGTTAATCCATTTGCATCATTAGCGTATGTATATGCTTAATTTTCCTGGTCATTATCATTGGAATGTATATACCTGTATACGCAAAATTTTGTTGGTCGTTATCACAAAAGAATTGAATGTGACGTTATATTTTCGGTTAGCTAAAAAACAAAATGTAATTAATCTACTTAACAGTAGAAATACGTCTGATTTTTTAAACTTAAACTCTTGCCCTACAATATTGTGCCAGATTCGCGATGGAGATTTCAAATAGAATTTAACAAATATAAATATTATTGAATTTGTTTGAATGCAAATTACATGTTATTCCTCTGTTATCAATGATTATACCTTAGAGCACACGTCGACATAGAATAAAACTGGAATTTTCTCTTATTTTCAATAAATTATTAATAACAAAGTAGTTATATCGTTCACAGTTCAGAAAGAAATCATAGGCCAAGGGGTAAACTTTTAAGATTACAAGTAAAATAAGCAAAATATCATTCTGTAATAAAGATTTGATATAATAATCTCAGAAGTAATATTATAATCTTACCTCTCGGCTGTAATTGGCCTACCTTCGAAATTATTTATCTTTCTTTTTACACGTATTTTGACACGTATTTGTTTTGAAAAATCTCTCGTTTCGCGCGCAATAAATTTGAAAAATAAAGTGTGTACTCGTTAAACGCAGAGCGAATGTGCCTAGGGTACATTATAATGAAACATTTTATTTGTGGTATGTAAAAGAATATTGAAAATTGATTGTAATTATCCTTCAGTATTTAAATTGAATTAGTTTGAAGAAGTGAAATTAAGGAATATTCTTTAATAACGTTAATTTACACACCCTTAAATATATTTCTTTTGAATTAATAACATTTATGTTCTTTGAACGTTTTTGACTAAGAGAAAGTGAATTGCTTTTATATATATTGCTTTCGTATACAGATCAATTTATGTCGAATAGTTTTACATACTAAAACGCAAGTATAGGAATGAAAGAAAGTATCTGTCTAGATAAAACGTTTATTAGAGTAACTCGTATCACTATCAAGTGTCGAATGTCAAGTTACAAATTTATCTAAGGTTTCACTTCTGTCTTTCTGGAGTTGAATCTTTGACTCGGTTACAAATACGTAAGATCAACGTTGAATTTGTTTTGCATTCGAGTGCAAATATAAAGTGTAATTAGAATTTAATAATATTTTTTACACACAGATGTACATAAATCTTTGCAGTATACGTTACCATTTCAGATATCACACCTAAAACATTGTTTCTTCTAACGGTATTCTTATTTTAAGACTGTTTAGTATCATTTAGGTCTATTAGAGGATGCATGTTTTCCTTCTTAATCACTTTAGAAACTTCACAAACGTTCTAAACGTTTTCTATACTGTTTGAGAAGTTGTTAGGTTTCTACAGGAAATCCATTATATATATAATGCATATACTGAACAAAAACAAACATTTTCATTGTTGTTTTCATTAAACAAAGTAATGGTCATGTTTCATGTACACATAGAAAAAAGTGAATAATTATAAAATAATACGAATCATCTAAAACGAAGTAGGTATCTACTTAACAATCAGATATTCCTTTTACAAGGTTGTGTATTTAGAGCTTTTTTTAATCAGACATTTGAAAAAAAATCTGAAATGAAAGTTTGGTATGAAATGGGAAAGAAAATGAAGTTAAAATTTCATTAAAACCTATCTATAAAACAATACTACGTAGAACAAAATAGTAAGTTGAAAAATATGCTTCATTAAGTGCTATACAATTTTTTACATATGCTTAATAAATAAATAGTTATACTAAAACATATATCCTTCAAAATTTAATGAAGTGTATACATAAAAATACGTTTTTATTTTCATTATTATTTGTATCAACGTAGAAACATACAGAAATTTTCTTGGAAACAAGTTCTACATTCTTATACGTTACGACTACAAATATAAAGAGCAGTGGACAAGAATTTTAAAATAGTGTCTATTCAACAACATGTAGATTTAAAGATTGATTCTGCAATGATAAAATAAAATGGAAATGAGGAATAACAAAATTACCATTCAATCCTCATTTTTCTTGTTATAAATATTTATAAACTGTGGTTTGGCTTTCTTAAAAACAAATCGATCGATTATCGTGATTTGTAGAACAGCTGAACCGAGAAGCTTACAGTCACTGGCAAAAATCATTGAAACAGAAATGGACCAGAAATTCAGCTCATTGTGCATGTGCGAATATATTGATAGATACTGCTTTCTATTAGAAAATTCCTTTGAATATGCTCGCATAGATTTCACTTAATAGGCAGGTTACGCAAGAATTTATCTATCGTTCCTCATAAGGTATTACAGAATTCTGTAGCGCCGTTGTGTCGTTGAACTTTCCATAGTTTCTACGGACCGTGTTTCTTATGGTCGTTTCGTTTTGACGATGACTGTGGGCTTGTCGGTTCAGCTGCCTTGCGAATGTCGGTGATCAGCAGATTGCCTGTTTTCAGGCAACTAATTTAGAATTGTTACGAATAATATTCATTTTTATAACTACAGTTGACTATGAACTATGTCATTAATACTAATTTAGAAATATTTGTAATTGAAAATTATAAAACTGTTTAAAGTATTTTAATTAAGATTATTTTATTTGAGAAAATAAGTTTTTTGAATAGTTTACTTGTGCTGAAGTGTATAAGAAGTATCCAGGATTCTATAGAATAAATCTCACTTTTATGTATCCTCTTCTTTATCGTGTCTTCTTATAATCCTTATTTAAAGTTTCTTATAAATATTGTGAAATTTAGACGGAATAAATAATGGTACAGAAGTTATAACGTATAGTTGCGTGTGCATGCAACATTTACGAGCATTAAGTAACAATATTTTGTAGCATGCCTTCTTTTACACAGAATTTGTTGCACATATAGAAAATAATGTTCATATACGCAATCATACCACAATTTTTCCACTCAATTGCACATTAAAGGTTAATAATGTAGACATAAGGAAGAACCAAAATGAATAAACACCTATTGATTTTATGATTTTGTATCATTTTTGCATTAAGTTCTTAAATTGTGAAAGTTTCATGAGAATGTGAAGCACCGACATTCATGTAGTTTTATTTTACTAGATTTACAAAGTTAAATTAAAAAAATTAAAATATGCACATTTTAAAGATTGATTTCACTCAATAAAAATAATTTTTTGCCGAAGAAAGCATTTATGTCTGTTCTTTTTAATTCAAATGAAAATTGAAGATAACTATATTATTAAAGTTATGTAATCAAGATGGCAGTTATCTATAGCGGGGTCATAAGAGATGAAACCATAATATCATTTGTACTAGTCATAAGTAAAACAGCTATCTCGTTAATGGAAATGAGTATCATCTCCTCGAAGGTAGAAATAAAACTGTAACAAAAGAGCTAAAATACGTTTCGCAAAATGAGATATAGGAATGTATCTAATGGATTTGTGGATGTGTGTGTAATTGCAAAGTCATCATAAAGAAACTGAGGGTCATTAACAAAATGATTGAAGTTTGACTCTTGAACACCTGAAAAGATATATGCTTATATATTATATAACTAAGAATTATAACTGTTAAGGAACATTTATTATTCGGTGTCATCTTTAATTATATTACAGTTGTTCTAAATCGACGCATCGATTCGTTAATACTTGAAATAAAAAAGTATTTAATAGTTAATTTAACAGTTATGATTACTTTATGAATAAAGATTGGGTAGCGATATAAAAAATAATTGTCTAAACTGTACTTTCAATCAGTTCGTTGATATTTGAAATATGTTCTGCAACGATAGAACTACACATCTGATAATAAGAAAACAGTGTTTAAAAGTTGCAGCTGTAATTTTTTTGATTCTCTCATAAAATTATCAATTATTAAATTTATAATTTAGGTACCTCCTTCTTTGTTATAGCTTCTGATAATTGCCTTTTTACTGTTACGTTATTAAGCCCTTGCGATCCTGTATTGAGATAGACTCAATACATAGTTCTCTTCTAATAATGAAATATTTTATCAAATTTTTTTGATGATAAGTCATACAGTTTTTAGATACATCTATCATGTTTTCAAATGAATTATTAAGGTATCATATTAAAATTTAACTTCTTTGGTTACACTTGTTGCTCCGTGCTGTGCTTTAGTCAGCACTGCCTTTCGTTTGTTGACAATATCCATCTTCTAGTAATGGTTTTGTATTTTTGTTAAATACAAAAACTTCATGGATTGTAATGTATAAGACGATGTTTAGAATTTTCAAATTCTTACTTACCAATTTTCCACATATATTTTCAAATATGTTTCTATGGTATGCGTTGATTTTTTATGAAATCTAATGTAATCAACTATATAATTACTCTAGTTAGTTATAAGATGATAAGAAATACAGTAAATAGTTGTTACGTTAGTAGCAGTTAACGTGTTAACCTCTTGCCCTATAAGATCGCGTCAAACTCGCGCTGAAGATTTTAAATGGAATTTAATGAATATAAATATTATTCAGTTCGTTTGAATATAAATTATATTTATTATTCACCTGTTACCGATAATCATACTTTGAAACAAACGTTGACATAAAATAAGTCTAGAATTTCCTCGTATTGTCAATAAATTATTAATAATAAATTCAGATTTTCAATAAATTGTTAATAACAAGATCGGTCACAGTTCAAAAAGAAATCATAGGGCAAGGGTTTCACTTGCCCTGCGAAATTCCTCCGTGTCAATGACTCTTTGTGCAGTCCTGTCCCATACACTTTCGACGATTATACTAATTCGAATTGTGTCTACTCGAACAGGCGATAATGTGCTACGTACCGCAGTGGCTGTGGAACATGTGGGAGGGCGGCTTGATCAACGCGTTGGTCATGGGTATGAATCACGGCCTCGATCAAGAGGAGAACATCCAGAAGAAAAAGTCCGCATTGATGGACTACGTAATGAGTCACATACAGGTGAGAGAAACAATAGTGTGTACAATAACAAATCGATTTGTTAAGTTGGTGGATATGAAACTCTCGATCGTTGATGTATAACGTTTGCCTCGTGTTTACGTCAACCCTGTTAACTACGTCCTTGTGATCTTTTCCGACCCAATAACGTTTTTATTTGTTTTTTATTTTGTGTCTTGAAATCCAGGTTTATATGAGCCATTTATTTTGAAAATGCCTTAAGTCCACTAAAAGAAGACAGAAAGAAAAAACTGTTAAAAAATAA